AGGGGGTCCTCCCTCGGTTCACCTCAAAGCGCATGCACAAAGAAGTCAAAATTAAACATGATTTAATGACTCGTAAATGTACGAAACGAGCGGTTTGTGTGAGAAAATGAAACAGTATTTATATCGTTTTTACCTGCAGTAGGATGTGGATGCGGACTATAAATCAAGAGTGCATTAAGTGTCTAAATAAACCAACACCCCATAGAGGAAAAAGGGAGCGATTTTGGACTCAGATAAGCATTTGGGAAACAGAATGTCAAAACAAGAGCATATGTGACACACACACACACACACACACACGCATCCAACGCCATAACAGGAAGAAATCAGGAAATTATATGCATATGAGAGAGCTACTGAACATTTTTATGTGAGCACAAGCCATTTTACATGTGATTTCTCTTAAAGTGCCTTTAGAAGCGTTTTTCTTTCTTTCTGAATAACATATCATGCACAGCTTGACATGATTGACAACAAAACCTTGCGCTAATGTGAATGTGAAAACTTGAAAAGTTTTTCAACATCTCTCTTTCTCTGGGATCAAAAAAAACTTGAACTCAGACTTTTGAGTGCTGCTTGCCCACATAAAACTAACCATCAAAATGGTTAAGTGCTTTGGGTGACTGCCAGGGTGTTGCTATGTAGTTGCTAAGGTGTTCTGTGTGGTTTCTAGGTGGCTTAAAGATTAGGCCAGTAGTTATACATTAGTGCAGTTGCAGCATGTAGATGTATCCATATACAAATGGAACAATATTAGCACTATTTTTGATGTAACATAAAATGATTTTGGAGAACTGGTGATTTTCCTTCAAGAGAACCTAAAGGTTTGGTGGTTTTGTGAGCATTAACGCCGAATTAAGATTCTCCTAATGCCTCAGTTTTTGACTTTGGCTTTACAACAAAAAAAAGGGGAAAGAAAAACGACTTAGATTTATAGAGAGAGACTGAAGGGTTGTGGAGAAAAATAATCTTTTGACTGAGGTGAGGTATCTTGAAGACTGATTAATTCAGAGCTGCCAGTGCATATCTGAGTCATGGTCTCTCTTTCATTATCTGTATTCATAAAACAGTGTTACGCAGCATATTTTAAGGCGAGACATGCTGTGCAGAATTATACCGTTTTGATTGAGTGCATATGAAAAAAAATCCTTCATCTGTAGACTTTGAATCACAAGTCACGCTCATGTGAAAACAATGAGACTGTAATTCTCAATGCCTCCATCAGTAATTCATATCTACATGGGAAACTATTTGGGGCATGTTGTCACAGACACAACAACATCATGTCACAGCATGTGTTCGTTTTTCTTGGACAATTACATTGGACATTTTCTTTTTGGTATACATAAATTGGCTTTGAAAATTAAACCCACTGTGAGAATGATTTAGTGCAGTGAAAAGTGAAACTCCTCCTATATTTATACACACTTTGATGAAAATACAAGCTTTATTCCTGGCTACAGTCGCTTGCTTCTCATCTACACTTGTACAAAGCTACGGGAAGAGACAGCAGGGAAGTGACCCTTGCTATTTACCTCAGTATTTGATCCCAAGCTGACAATCGGCGGCACTTTGAGGAACGCTGACATGGAAACAAGTAAATGTATTTATTTGAGAGCGCCTATCATGATGAGTGTTGGGTCTAACAGCGGGACAGGTTGGCTTTGGCAGAGTAATGGAGCCTGCCAGCCTTTTCCCATGTGTTCCTGATGGTAACCTCTCCACCCTTACCAACAAACTCCATTTCCCGAAAAGCCGCTTTCATTTATACAGCAGCGTTGACAAAAGACTCAGACAGAAAGAAATAAGAGTGTGTTTTAAGTCAAGTGATAATGGCTTCAGTTTTTACAGCTCCTCAAAATGAGGTCCTTTGTGTTGCCAGTAGAAGGTGATGTGATTTATTGGCCATCCCTGAGGTACGGTTATGGAGTAACAGTGACACAGATAATCGGATTTGTTAGTGTGGTCCATTAAATTCCGAGCCACCTTCTTCTGCCACAGGCCTATGCGTATACGTGTAGGTGCACTAACAATTTATTTTCCTTTAAAATAATTGCTCTGTAGACAGTGTGTACTGGAGACTTGTTTCATGGTCTGATAATTCGATTGCAGTTGCACAATGCGTTCAAACAATCCTCCCATACTAAATATGTACAGTCTAGGCATTGAATAGAGAAATCATTGATTTAATAGTCAGCGGGTGTCCATATACTCTGGCAGGGGGCTTTCCTCATATTCCCTATCTGATCTGCTGCACATTTCATGTATTTTGTGTGCCTTTGTCAATCATCAATGTATGGTGTGTATTGTTTTTTTCTTTGGACCAACAGCATGATGGGAGACGGGAGTATGTATGATATTGGTTTTATACAACAGTTCGATAAACCAACACATTCTCATCCCAAGGCGTCATATACTGACGTTTTCCCAAAGCGTATACATCCAACACACATGGCACCCTTTTGCATCAATATAACACACACAGAGTATGGGTAGGTTTAGGTATGGGGTAGGGTTAAAGTTAGACCACTAGGAGGCGCCTTCTGACCCATATACTGTATATCTGCGTCTCATATAGCTAAAGGGTGCCATGTGCATTGGATGTATACGCATTGGCAAAAGAGTCAGTATATGACGCCTTGGGATGAGAACGGGCTGTATAAACATGATACTTATAAGACATTATTCGGTTTACTTTGTGTATTTTTATTCCACCAAACACCGTTTTAAACTTAGAGCAGAATCACAACACATGTCTCAGAACAACACAGTAGCGGTGTTTTGGTCCTGAACGAATCAGTGTTGCTGAATGAATCGGCTGAGTGAATAATTCAAATGGCTCACTCAAACAGACAGACTTTTTTATTTGTTCCTGAATGAATCAGGGGTTATTGAATGAATCAATTGACTCAATGATTTAATCATTAAGACATATTTGGTTCATCACTCATTCCTAAATGAAACAGTGGTTTGAACAGGTGATTAAAACAGTGTTCACTAATCAAATATTAGAACAAGAACTAACTAAAAAAAATAAATGAACAAATAAAAAAAAATGAACACTGATTTTAAAGAAAGATACATTTCATAAGAAGGTATTGGTTGGTTGGTATTAGACTGTAAAACACTATATTTACAGTTATAAATGAAGAGGAGGTATCTGGACTTCTCTTAATGTACTTATGTAATATAAAATGAATACAAAATCTAACTGCGACTCCCTGGGCCACTGCATGCTTAATGACTAACATTGTACTACTGCACAGCTCTGTTGTCTTTGTCTAAACAAGACATATCCATATGACAGAATTGCATCGTACTTAACCTAACCAAAACAACAACAAAAATACATATGATAAAAAAATATGTTCTATCATCTGGGTAATATATTGCTGCCAGAGATTGCTGAAAAGTGTCGAAAAGTGAAAAGCTCCTCTTTGAACAGCAGATAAAAGCAGGCCAGAGACAATTAGACACACGGCAAAACACCCAGAATATATGGAGCACGCGCTGCTGTGTAAAAGCCGATCTTCGTCATGGACTCTTATCTGTACGAAAATGGCCAGCAGTACGACAACGTTCACAGTCCCAACATGACCGATAGATCATAAATCCACACTGACAGACATTTACGAGATAGTCTCGAAAGATTTATTGTAAAGTTATAGACATGAGTAAACCGGTTAGTGGAAAAAGGCCTATTATATCGGGAGTTTTACTTTATCGTGTTAATTTTTATTAAGCACATACATTTGTTTGCACGTCGGAAGGTTTGACCCTCTTCATCTGTTGCAAGTGCCGGTATTATCTGACAACTCAGTTGACACATACACCAATGCCAACCTTGTTAGCTAGCAGAAGGCAAGACAACAGAAAGATGTTGTTTGTGAAAACTCGCCTAACAGGAGGTTGAGAGGTCTTGCTAATTTCATACACTTATTTCCTAAAATCTGGAGAGCTCAAGAAATGAAAGAAAGAAACATTTCATGCAGATAATAACCAGCTTATGACATTACCCGTATTACACTCCTGACAGACACCAGCTAATGTCATGATTTAATTTAGAGTGTTCTTGTGTAATTCCCACAAGACGCAGAGAACAGAGACCTAAATACCAAAATATCAGCTAAGATAAAAGGAGAAAACAGACCCAATTCCAGAAGCATCCCTCTGGGGGTTAAGTGTGCAGCGTCTCAATTTGGATCTCAAAAAGGCTTGTCCCGCCGGGAACGACATTAAGCGCGTGCACGTACGCATCATGATTTCCACTAATGAGCTTGTATTGTTTCACTTCGCCACCTTGGATAAAGTTGTGCGCTGAATGTCATGCCTTTGAAAAAAAGGAAAATAATCCATGGCTCTTTGCTGTGTTGACATTGCCGTCCATTAATTTGTGTACGTTCTAGTTATAATAATGAAAGATAAATGAAGAGGACTGGTCGGGGAATATCAATAGGCTGTGAAACCTTCTCTGAAAATAGGCTATACACGTGTTAAAAATGCACTCAAGCGGCAGGTCAAACGTTCGTGGAGATGGAGGGGGTGGAGCCACGCTTCTTTGTCCCGTGTTATGAAGAAGGTGTTAATTGTCATATCACTGTCAGTTAAATGAGTACAATCATTTAGCTTGAAGGGTTGTATGCTAATGTCACATTAACATGGAGTAAAGCCTCGCCGCACTGATCATTAATTAGTCTGGCCTGTTTCAGAGGGCAGGAAGCAGCACCATCCAGCATGGGGATCCTGCCTGTATAGTTTAGCACTAATGAGTCTTTAATGTGCAGGACTGAAGAAATGGGGTACATCTCACATCCAGAGCTTTTGTGTCTGCAATAACCTTTGATTTAATACATGGTACTTAGACGCTGCATCAACACTTCTCTTTCAACCCTGTGGTTTACTGTGGTCCAATGGGGTAAAAATTATAGTCTGCTCTGAGAACATGTATTATATGCAGCAAGGTTGAGTCGAAACATTGTATTGCACATTGCACACTTAGATTATAGTTTTAAACACGTAACCTTTATTTGGAGACTTGGGTCATACGCCTGTCAAGGAGAATGACCATCAAAACCTGCATGACCCCTTTGAGGCAGCTGGGGTTAGATATCAGTGCCATCAACTGGTAGAAAGTGGAAAAGCAGGATGTGATGTTTTATTTAATATGCAAACAGAAAATAGTGGTGTAATGCATAAATTAAAATACGGTTTTCATGTCATTTATGCTCATAGGCAGTGCTTTACAGCTCATAAAACAGACTACAATTCTTAGACAATTGCATCTAAAAAGTAACTCAAATGCTAATGTACATAACAAACAGAGATGATCACACACAAGGGAGACATTTTTCAAGAGTACTGACTTGATAGGATCACTGACTGGCTTCTTGTGTATTCCAAGTCAACACTAGACCATCTTGAACACCATCTTGACCATACGAACCTCCTTATGTAGGATTATTCCTTTGTGGTCTTCAAGAATATGTTTGCATTTCATAACATACAAGGAAAGCAGAGAGCAGCAGAGAGAATTAATTAATAACATGTATAGAATTAATTAGACTTTATTCTAATTAACAGAGTCTTAAATGAGACATTTGCATGATCCAAATGCACAGATTTTTTTTTTTAGATCATCCATCGGATGTCATGCCAACACACCTGGATGCGGAATTAGTCGGTACATACTATCGTATTGATTAAGTCCTTTATATGGTTAGAAATGGTTCACAAATATAGATTGAGTGTTTACTAATCAATTTGTTCACATATTCTGTGGTTTTCTTACCAAAGTATGCATGTCTCTCCGCAGGATTGCACCCAAAAACTCATCAGATCCGGTTAACTTTATGCTAATTATTAGGCTAATCAGTGGATCATTCATTTAGGTAGGTTAGATATTTCTTTTTCTATATACGGCAATCACTCTAAGGGGAAAAATTAAGTGGAATGGAACGAAAAGCAAACAAACAAACAAGAACAACAAAAAAAGAAAACGAAATGCTATAGCTATAGCACACATATGTAAGCAATTTGAGTGCATACCATCTATCATTCTAATACTGTAAACAACATATTATACAATATTGATAACACTACCTACAACAATACAATTTGCTCAACAGCTCTCAAAGAGACATGGAGGGTCATTGATCTGCCTTTTTTCCCAGAAGTTGTCCTCTGTATATACATGTTTATTCAAACTGTTGGTGGAAAAAGTTCCAAAATAGATATTTTTTCGTCCATACTTTGAATTCACATGCTTTTACAAATGGGAGTCAGTCTTTTGAGAAATACAGTAGACGATACTAACACGGACAGGAATAGAGATGTACAAAAATATGTAAAACCCTACAAAATGTATTCTCACTCATCGTCAGAGCCAGTAAACGTTCAACTCATGGAAATGCTATTCATTAAGTTTAAATGTCAGCTCTTTGTGTGTGCGTTTTTTTTTTTTTTTTGATAATCACTCACAGAAAGGTATATATATATATATATATATATATATATATACATTTCAGAATAGAGTGGAATATCCTCTTCTTCAAAAAAAGAAAATATAGACATCTTAATTGAAACATTCCTCATAATCCATTCTCACAAACATTCTCAGTGGTTTCACAACCATCTCAGTTTTCCTTCTTCCCTGATGATGAACCCTCATGACAGTTGCCATAGAAACAATACCAGATGAATGGCTTGCCTTTTCATGGTGAGATATGAGTTTGTCTGAGTGCAGTAGAGTCAGACCAACCCCCCACCTGACCACCACCTTATCCAGAAGGCATATGGGTGTGCTACGCTTTGAAAAATACATAAATAACTTCAAGCCAACTATGCAATATTCTTAGTAGCATTTTCGTTCAACCTTTCCATATAATTTCTGAGCTCTTTGGAGTCCCCGAGCTCGATGTCTGGGCAAACCCATTTGATGTCGCTCTGACCAATGAGAAGTGGACTTATGGATGGGCAGCCATTGCTGGGCTTGCTATGGCTGAAAGTGGTGAACTTGACTCGTTTCCGTTTGGTTGTGGGCGAGTTTATAGACTCGCTCTTGTGATCTCTTCCAGTGCACACTGAGTCAGAGGCCGACCTGTGGACCTGCCCTTGCACACTCTTCTGAGAGGAAAGGCCATTGAGGAGCTGGCTACCTTCCTCCAGGCCCAGCCCAGAGTCCATGGTCCCACCCAGCTCCTCTTGATCAAGACACAAACCCGCTTGGCTTTCCAAAAGCTCTACATCATGGCCCAACCAAACCCAGTCGTGGGCATGAGTCATGGTCTCCTGGCCCTCCAACGGGAGCTGCTTGTTGCGATACTTCAGGGCATAGGAGACGCAATTGATTAGGAATACCAAGATAGCCAGGCAGAAGACGCCTAGCAGGGCGTACATGCCTATTTCCAAATCTGTGAGCCCGCGGCGAGACTGCAGCAAGTCTTCCTCCGTGTTATGTCCAGGTGGAAGATCTGCTTGAGCTGGGAATTCTGAGAAATCGACTGGAATATCACCAGCCGAGAGCCTGTCACCGCTTGCTTTACCTGGAATGGAGGTTTTGATGGTGGTAGCGCCTCGGTTCATGATTCCAGCCTCCATGTCTGAGATTGAACCTCCGTAGTATGGGGCATTGGGCCTGTATCTCCTGTCACTCGCACTGTTCCCTGTTTCATCGGCACGGCCGAACTTCACATGGACGTTCGCGTTGCCTGCGGCCAGAAGTGTGCGGCGCTTGGTTTTCAGGCATGATTCGGGTCCATACATCTCCAGGCGGACCAACATACCTTGCCCTTCACCCTTAGCAACCACCACAGGCCACCTCCAGGTGGTGCTTTTTCTCACCAATACCACCGTGTCGTCTAGCGAGGTGGCTGTTAGGACGAAATGTGCAGGGTTATAGAGGTCAAGAGGGGTCATTGAGCCATCGCTGAACTGAAGCCACGCACTGACAAGGGACTCCTGAGAGAGAAACACAACATGAACAAATACTCTCAGCAATGCCAATTTTTTCTTGAATCAAGTATACATGATTTTTAACTCCAACGGAGGACTGTTCAAATGCTTTAAAAGTCATCAAAATCACATTTTAAAGTGAACAGATGCACTGATCCGCGGGAGATTCAACCAATTTGCCCGTTTTATGTCTATCAATGTGGAAAAGCCCTGCCGACGCAGAGGATTAGTAAAATTAACCTAATCAGAAATGGTTTTTAACGTGAGATGACTCCGAATAAGTGAGCAGCCTCGCAACATGCCTCGGAACAGCATGATCCACTAACAAACCGTAGCTCCTCATCAACATGCGGCCCATGTCAAACAACTTTGTCTATAACAACAGTATTCATAGTGATTGGACCTGCTCATGGATAAAACGTTTCTGAGAAATTGACATGGACGTATGCAATATTGTTACCTAAAACCCTGAATACGTCAATGTGATTTCAAAGAGGAAGGATTTACCCAGAATTTAAAAAATAGAAACCAATTGATCAGCTAAATGTAAGCCAGAGGAGAACTGGCCCCCGACTGAGCCTGGGTTCTCCCAAGGTTTTTTCTCCATCCAATCTGATGGAGTTTTGGTTCCTTGCCACTGTCGCCTTGCTATTGGCTTGCTTTTGGCTTGCTCAGTTGGGGTTATTTAGCGTTTAGCAATGTTGTTGATCTGTGTTGTACTACTTTCATGTTATCACGAAGCTGCTTTGATACAATCTGTATTGTGAAAAGCACTATATAAATAAATGTGACTTGACTTGACTAAATGAATGAATGAATGAATGAATAAAATATAAAGAAATAATCAATACGTTTATCACTAATAAAAACAATGACTTAAATAGTTCAACTACACTACCTGATTAGGATTGTGCATCGTCTCCTGTGTGGTAGCTGTGGCAACGATGGCCCTGTTGCTTCCTGGGCTGAGCTGGAGGTTCAGGGAAAGGCCAGAGACCAGCTGTACGCCCAGCTCTGTAATACTGACTTTATCATCCAGAACCCGGATCATCCTCTCCGCCAGAACCGAGTCGGACAATGGAGACATCACCTGGTAAAAAACATAGACAGAAATGCTTCTGATAACATTGAAAAACAACTAAAAATTCTCTCCTATGTTCTCATACAAACTTAGTAACATGACAAAATGAGTGGGCAATGTACAATTTCAAAAATCAAAGTGGCAGCTGTCCACCGTCTGCCATATATAGCAATATCTGAAGCACAGGCAAGGAAATTACTTTGATATGAAACGTGATGAGAAGACTTCCAATCTGGATCAATTAATGGCAAAGCAGCCACCTCCACATTTCTGCATTCATTATGTTATAATGAAGTGTCAGAAGCCATTTACTTCCGATCTGTAAGTGACTTCCACTGTCACTTGCACTTGCTTCTCACCATCATTTGCAACCCGTCTAAAATGCAGCCATGCTTAGGTAGAAAAATGATTCTTATTCTGCTTTTAATTCCACTCTTATTCCGAGCGCATTCCTAATTTTCCATTTGAATTGAGAGATTTATTAATTAGACATACAATAAGAATAATCAAGGGGAGCCTCGGGCCTTACCCAATATTGCATAAGACGCTGCCCCAGTGATCTACTTTTTTATAAAAAAAAGTTAGTGCTTGCTATGCTACTTCAACAAATCTTTTCTTCTAAATAGTCTACTTTGCTCTTTTTTTTTTGAAACCACACGTATTTGCCCTCTTCTAATTGCAATGAATTATTCATTCAGTTTAGTTTTAATGAACTGCACACATACGTAGGTCCCCCTTCTGAAATGTATTTGTGAGTGTGGTCTAATAGGACGGTAGACATTTGATAATATGGCCATGGTTAAGTGCTGGGTTTTGGATTTCGGGGATGCTGATCTATTAAGCAGCACTAGTTCTCTTACGTGAGGTTCTCTTGAATTGTCTAAGTAAACTTACGCTACGGAAAGATGAATCTTTTTGAGATATTGAAGCCAAAAAATTGTCCTTAAATTTTGTATTCATTGTCAACGCAGTGCAGCAGCTAGCAGACCTAGAGCAGGCTGTCTAGCGTGCTCATTGGCTGCCCAGCGGCAACTGCAGCAGCATATCACTGAGCCCGGTGTGACGTGACGTTACGTTACGTAGCGTAAGCTAATTGGCAATACTCGTTCCCTCTTCTAGAGAGAACCGAGTTTATGTTAGGTACCGATACGTTTTCAGACTCATTTATCTCACTTATTGGGCTTTTTATCTGATTTTAATTTTCAGCAAATTGATCAAATCGAAGAGCTCTCCACCTAAGTCTCTGCCATATTTCATTTGCTGTCAGATAGCACTCTAATGGCACTTTCAACTCGTCAAGCAGGTGTATTATGTGTGAAAGTCCGTGTGACATCTAAAAGAAAAAATGTGAGATTTTCACATAGCAACACTTAATTTGTCTTAATAAAGGACATAGTTTGTCATAGGAGCTGTGAGATGTGCAGATAAGACAGCACACAAGCTGTGACAAGAGTGAGAGATGCTGTCTATTTCTGGTCTGACAGCGTACACGTGTCACATCACAACTTGGACTGATTCACCTATCATCTGTATGAGAGATTGACAAATGACAGCCTGGCTTTTCGAATGAAAACAACAACGTCCTCAGATTTTATTTATGCAGTATAAACTAAAAGGAACAGTGGCTTAGTCAGCTGTAACTGTCAATTCTGTTCCTCCAACATGATCAGCTCTGGTCATGGTCTGTGGAAATGACATAATACGCTATAACACATGAATCATGGATCAAATTTTAATAATGCTGAAAATCCAAAGATTATTGGATTATTGTAGTAATGCATACAACCACTTTCAAAGACATGTTTTTTTTTTTTTTTTGTACAGTGTAGGTTTCGTTTTATGGTACATGATGGTAATCTTTTAGAGATACGATCACACATATTTTCTTCCTGTCTCTCACCTGAACTTTGGTGGTGCCAGTGTTCAGACCGATCAGGACCTGTTCCTCTGACAGCTTGGCCACGCGGTCATCCCCCACCCTTAATGAGTCCCTCACCAGCTCTGTCACGTCCACCTGCCAATCACTCCCCAAGAGGAAGTCTGACTGGCCCTGCCACTCCTCTGGCTCGGCCTCAAAGTGTGTGAGGACACGGACGGTGGAGCTCTGGTACTGTGGTCCACAGCTCCGGTCCTTCTTGGCTCCTTCATCCCCATCATCCTCTCCAGACCTGTAGTAAAGACAGCAACCAATAAGTTTTACATTCCATTCTCAATTCTATTCAATTCTATGCTAGTACAATCAACTCATTTAAAAGTCATATATAAAAAGAAACATACAACAAATATTTAAATCAGGTGGAAAATAAAATAAATAAATAAATAAATAAATAAATAAAAGTCCAAAATGAAATGGTTAGAAACAAAGATGCTATACATTAAAAATCTTCTGTGTGTGTGGTCCTGGTAAATGTTCCCATAAGTATCGTAAAACCATAACTCTGGATTGACAATATTATTTTCTTGATTTTAAATGGTAACAATAAATCAATAAAACAGCATACTGTAGGCTGTACAATCACTTAAGCTTACATTTACCTCAAAACAAGCTATTCAATGTCCATAAACTCAAATAACTCTAGAGAAGAGGATTTTGGTAAATGTATGCACTTTATTACACATTAATTATATATTTTACTTAACCTTTTAGTGGTCTTCATTATTTAATGTGTTCGAATGGCCTAAATATATCATGAAAACAATTTTATTGTCATTTAAATGTTCCTATTTCACCAAACAAACTATAGTAGAAACAATTCTGTAATTAAAAAGTTGATATAAATCCTGCTTTATGTGCAATTTAAATGTTTGTTCAATCAGTTTTAACTATTTGAGTGTTAATTATTGAATAAGTTTGATTAATTAATTGATTATTAATTCATTCTTTATTTTCGGTTTTCAGCCAAGTGCATTCTGAATTTTCTGTTTCGGCCCAGAATTTTCATTTCGGTGCATGTAAATAGAAAGTCCCTATAAAACATGGAAACCCAGTGTGTATGTATGTTTGTGCATGTCTGTGTGTAGACGGTGATGCTCAACCTCTTGTAAAGGAGCGAGTTTCTTTAAAAGGCTGTAAAAATGAACCCTTTTCACATTACATTAATGCATTTCCTCTCCTCACACAAAAAGTCCAGACCAGGTGAATGGCGGGACAGCTCAGACTGTTCCATTATTTTTAATGAGTCAAAACCATCCAAAATAAAAACCAGCAGTGACAGGTTAACACAGTGGCTCTCGGGGACGTGCACAGGGGTGGGGGGGGGTTGCTCTGGTTGCCCGGGCAACTGCCCAAGTTGCCTTTCCGAGGGGGAATAAATAAATACATGTATCGTACAATGGATGAAGAATTTCATGTAGGCCTAGATAAAAAAAAACCATTCGGGCGCCGAAAGTGAAAGTCAGTAGGGGAAGGGCAAACTCTGTTTACGTGGCTGCAGAGCTGCACGCAACCGGTGTATCAGTTGATTGATTCCGTTCCCTACCGGAATTCATGTTCCCTTTATGCAATCATACTACAAATCATGCGTAGTTGCCCAGTTACCATACGTACCATCAGAACTGAATACGAGCAAGAAACACAAAAATCTAAGCGTTGTTTTTTATTTCCCCATCTGTCAATTTAATACAGATTATTTCTTTTCCAATTAAAAAAAATAAATAAATAATAATAATTAAAAATATTAAGAGGAACTCTTTTTCTTATGTGACATTTAACATATTTTTTTATACATTTTGTATAAATAAACCTATCATCTCCAACGTTTTGCAATCTTTAAATAATAATAATGCCATTATGTGAGGCATTGCGTATGGACATAAACACGGTCAGATAAGGCAGTTGGTACGGGCAAAATTCAACTGAATATATTCAGATATAATACAAAAACTATGAACAAGTGCCAGATTAATTCAAGTCACATAAATATTACTGGAGTGTGAGAAACATTTTATTATGCTGGTAGCTAAGGTGCTTTTTTTAATTCTTTGTGTATATACAGTATATTTTAATAAAGACACTGTTATTCCTCAGTAGCCCCCGTGAGTTTTTTTTTTTTTTGGAAGGGGGAAGGGGAGTGTGTCGTCCCTGGTGGCTCTGACTGGTGGGGAGGCCATGCTCCTTTATAGATTTACACAATGACGCCTGACCAATGGCAGAAACAGTATGACATTTACAGAACACAGGTGTATAAACAGGGCAGGCGGCACTCAGCTGAGGAATGTCAGGTCACAGGAGGTCTCAGGAGTAATGAGCTCCAGTCTTACAACAAAACCGCATGTCTACCGCTCTCACAGAGGTAATCAAAATGCTACCTGAGAAAGACATGACCTCGAACCAAGGGCAGATATGATACAACCAGTGTGCCAAATGGTCAACACGAATGTGAGTAAATATGGGCTTTTTGATGAATACAACTCACCAGCTGTCCACTATCTTAAAGGCACAGCTCACCTATAAATGAAAATTCTTCATAATTTTTTGCCTCATATCATTCTAAACCTGCATTCTTCTTCTTCAATGGTTCAGCAAGCTTCACATAATTTTGAAAGTCCAGTGTTTAGTTTCTTTAATTGTAAAGAACATTTAAAAATTCTAAAGAACCTTATTCCACTATAAAGAAAATGTTGTTGAATGGAAAGGTTCTATGAATGTTTACGGTTCTTAATGGAAGCATCGATGCCAAGTTGAAAATGATGCTGCGAGTCTGTCCTCATTCAAGTAGATAGGGGCTGGAATTGCATGTCTATTGCATGTCTATTTTTCTTGCATAGGAAAAAGCTGCCCAGGGGCATTACAAAGATGCCCGCCGAGTGAACTTGCCTTAAAGGATTTTGCTAATATGCAAAAAAATATTCTGTCACAAGGACTAAAATATCTATTTTTAATAAAAATAATGTAAAATACAGTTCCATGGCCAGTAAGAAATATTTATTAGTGCTAAACTTTCTCAGTTCACTGAAAAAGCCATTTTTATTATAGAGAAAGATCAGAATGTTCAAGATTAGGTTTGGTCAGAGAATACATTCGTATCTTCATTTTGAGAACATGGAAAAGTGATCAGTGTGTCGATTCCTGACCACCACACATGACTGATGACAATCAAACAACTTATAGCCACACTTATTCCTCGGACAAGTTTTCCACTGCTCATTCCATCTGTCTTCCATCATCTTCTCACTTATCATGCATGAGTCAATCCGGTAGGATTGTTTATGGTGGAAGAGTAATTAAAAATTATCTTGTGGATATCTGCTGCGTACGGCAACATTAAACTGCATATTGTTTGATGCTAGTGCGTCAGAGGCAGGTGTGCCTGAAGACGACCCAGCGGTAATTAAAAAGTCAGCGTCCGCATCCTCCCCGCACCTCCATCATGCGGATCCGGAGGGAGCTCCGCTACACGTCTGGAGTTACCAAGAAACAACAGAGCATGAAAACAACTGAGGTGAGGGTTGATAGAGAATGGGCAGGTGAGCTCGCACATTATTGGTGCTGTGCAATATAGAGAGAATTATTAAAAGTAAATGTAAAAAAAAATGGTTAAGATTTCAAATTACCAGCAGAACCATATTGCATAACATGTGTGGGTTGTGTAGGATATTTTCTGCTCAGTTAAAGATTATAAAACCTGATAGAATGCAGTTTTCAGGCTCTTTTCATTTCAATTATAATTTATAAAAGTTATATAATAATCTCTGAATTAAAAAAAAGGCATTTAAAAATACACTTCAGGATAGAAATGGAGAGCTGAAGGAGCTACAAAAAAGGAATAAGGAATAATGCAGGGCAGATTTTCACACTTTACGGTCAACTTTAGGCTATATAATTGTATTCGTATTAGTAAGTCACTGATGTGTAAATGTAGGCAGTCATACTGTCATACTGTTTGATCGGAAAGTTCTGGAGACGGTTTTTAAAATGACAATATATATGATTCAATAGTACAATATACTCTTACCTCAAAATATAAAAGGAAAATGTGATTCCTTGAAACAAAGGGCGCATTTACATTACATTGTTCAAGTGAACTAACTGCGATCTTTTTCCTCCCAAGTGGCACAAATCGCATATGTAAGCAGGAAAAAAGCACTTGGATTCAGATATTCTCAGATCAGTTTTAGGCTTAATTTATACAAGGAAATAAATATGATATGAATTGAATATAAATTGGAACCTGAGAGAGTTCTAAAGAGCTGCTGCTTCTTTGCATTGAAATGAGCCAGTTGAGGTGGTTTGGGCATCTGGATGCCCCCTGGGTACCTCCCTAGGGAGGTGTTTCAGGCACGTCCAGCTGGGTGGAGGCCTCGGGGAAGACCGAGGACTAGGTGGAGAGATTATATCTCCACATTGGCCTGGGAACGCCTCGGGATATTTAAAGCAGCTGACAGATCGAATATTCCCTTCAATGTGAATCGTACGCCACTGAATGACGGTGGTGAATGACGTCATCTCAGATGGACACCAACCGCAATCACACGACTCTTTTCAATACCAAGGGCTCTTCTCTTTTTTCTCCACCTTAAGAGACCAATGTTTTGCTGACCTTTAACTCTTTCCCTGCCAAACACGGAATTTTCCGTGTTTAATGAAAAAACGCATCTGCGCCAAACACGGAATTTTCCGGGTATCCGTGTTTTAGGTGGTATACGGTAAGGAAGACCCGCGCGCATGTCCTGAATGATTGCGCAACTCTTTGTTTAGAGAAACAGATTGCAATCGTCTCAAACAGTGGAGTAGTGAGAATGTATCAGACAGACAATGCAGAGGTATATGGCTGAAGTACTGGAGGTTAATGGACTCGGAGTCCGATCACTCTTTATTTGATAATTCTGAATCTGATCGGGACGAAGTAGTCAGTGAGAGAGATGCACATGTTCATGCTAGCCATGGACGTGCCACAGATAGATCGTATAATATTATGACACTATAATATGTATGTGTGTGTGCAGGCATTTATGTGTGGCTGTCTAAATATGAAGGTGTAATTGTCAAATTATTTCTCTCTTTGTGCACATTTACCACATTGTAATATGTATTTGTGTGTGTGTGTGTGTGTGTGTGTGTGTGTGTCTAGGCCTGTTTATTGTAATTCCAATTATTCATTATTCACAGGTAGAACACAGAGAGGCAGAGGCAGAAGTTTTATTGCAAAAGTTACATTTCCCTTACATCCTGGGAAATTTGATATATTTTACATTTATTTTATGTTTTTAATTTATTTTGGAAAGTTTTATATATGAAGGAAACAACATCTGAATGTATTCTGCTTTTAAATGCACTTGTTTGATAAAAACACCTTTTTCTCAGTTTTTTGTCCAAAATGTTGTGTTTTTGACAAAACCTACCTCTGTTCAAGAGGCAATAAAAAAATAACAGATGAAGATAAAATAAAAACGTTTTTTTTGCCTAAAAGCAGAGGCTCAGATCTTTATTTTTATATATATCATCTTCATATATTCATGGAAGAAAATATTCAGCGGGGGCATTCAAATTTAGCGAAAATCGTCAAAAACCCTGGCGGTGGCTGGCAACTTTTTTTTAAAACGCTGGCGGGGAAAGAGTTAAAGATGGTGCAGAAAGCAAAAGCTTGTATTATCATTTTGTTGGCGTCAATTTCAAATTGCGACATTGGTAACACTTTAGAATACGGTTCCTTCGTTAATGAATAACTACACAAGAACTAATGAGTAACACAATATTAACAATCTAGTAACTATTATTAACTAACAAGAAACTCGGATTAACGAACTAGTAAGTAATAGCGCACAGATGAAAGTGGTAGTTCACTATTAAGTAATCAATAACTACTATTTTTCAGAACTACTGAAAAAGTTTGTTAATAATCTAGTAACTACTATTAACTAAAAGAAACTCTTATTAACGAATTAGTAATTAATAGCTCACAGATGAAAGTGTTACTAGATACTTCTGTGGGACTTACTAATTATTTGGATTCGTTTTATAAAGTGAAGATCATTGGATCTAACTAGTAATTACTCAAGTGTTACTACATGATCTAGTCATGATTTGTGCAAATATTTGAGATTTTTGGTGAACTTTAGTAACTTTTAGAAAATGTCTTTAGTAACACTTGAGTAATTACTAGTTAGTTCCAATGATCTTCACTTTATAATAAGAATCCAAATAATTAGTAATTAATAGTTCATAGATAAAAGTGTTACTAGATACTTCTGTGGGAATTACTAATTCTTTGGATCCGAATTATAAAGTGAAGATCATTGGAACTAACTAGTAATTACTCAAGTGTTACTACATGATCTAGTCATGATTTGTGCAAATGTTTGAGTTTTTTGGTGAACTTTAGTCACTTTTAGAAAATGTCTTTAGTAATACTTGAGTAATTACTAGTTAGTTCCAATGATCTTCACTTTATAAAACGAATCCAAATAATTAGTAATTCCCACAGAAGTATCTAGTAACACTTTCATCTGTGAGCTATTACTTACTAATTCGTTAATAAGAGTTTATTTTAGTTAATAGTAGTTACTAGATTGTTAATAAACTTTTTCAGTAGTTCTCTGGGAAGTTTTAAAAAAAATAGTAGTTATTGATTACTTAATAGTGAACTACCACTTTCGTCTGTGCGCTATTACTTACTAGTTCGTTAATCAGAGTTTCTTGTTAGTTAATAATAGTTACTAGATTTTTAATATTGTGTTACTCATTAGTTCTTGTGTAGTTATTCATTAACGAAGGAACCGTATTCTAAAGTGTTACCGCAACATTTTTACTTTTCGGCCTAGCTTTTCTGTGTCAGTATGTCTACCCAGGGTTGTGTCGCTAAGTGTATTGTGTAAATGCAGATATGGGTCACTTTTAAAAAATGATGTAAACTGGTCGTCAAAAAAATATAATAATAAAATCGGAATTGGGTATCAGGACCTGCAATGTAAATGCGGCCAAAAATGTCGCTAACCTCTGGTTGGCAGCATCTAAAGGAACTCTCCAGCCCCTGATTTGGCTGAGCTCTGGATCAGACATCTCAATCTGCAGGGGGAGACGAGGCATCCACACGCTCACCTCCAGCTGAGCACTGAGGTAACTGTAGGTGAAGTTCACCATCATCCGCACTCTCCCACGTGTCTCCTTGCCATTGACATACACATAATCGCACCTTTCGGACACCTAAGAAGGAGGAATACAAATCAGACAGCAGACAAACAAAGCATTCAAGCAACACTGTATTCAAAGCAGCACTAAATTAAAGAAAATTGCAGCTCTGGCCAAGGTATCAGCCTACTTTTCGCTCCAATTTCCTGGCGACCATTTCAAATTTTGAAAGCACAAGAAAAAATTACGCCTCTTCTTGTGCTAATCAGCGCAATATGTGAAAAATAGTCTAGCCTTTGTGTGTTTTGTGCCGCTGTTATTCGCTTTCATTCTGCGCTTTAATGAGGAAGATGAGAGATTGGACAGGCTTTGACTGGCCTGTCCAAGTATTTATTTCTGACTACAGTCAGTGGGGGAGTCGTTGTCGTTGATAATGAGAGTGTTTGGACGTCTATATTTCTCAGGCTTTGGGGTTGAAAGGAGCTAAGCAGATGGAGTAAATGGAAGAAGTCAGAAAAAAGCTGAGTGGTCAAGTCTTTCTACAGCAGCAAAGTAATTAATTTGCAGAACATCTATTGCTCTTAGGCAATGCTTATGATACCTGGCAGCGAAAATTGTATCTCATACAATCAACCTGAGGGCTTCTTTAATAACAACAGATGTGGAAGTGAACCAATGGCATGGCTTGGTTTCTGAGCAGCAGACCATCAGCTCAAAATACAAGATGACAAGAGTGTCAGTTGTTTGTGAGATTTCCCTAATGTTGTGCCATATTCTAGAGCATCATACTTGTTACATCTCAATACCAGACTGCTATTTAGCAGCTGCAATCAGTAGCCAAGCTTTCATCAAGTCCTCATTTGGTGAGTCTCTCAGGAAATATATAAACTCCAAGTTTTATTTTTGAATAGACAAACAGAAAATCTGAACTCAAAGAAATACCACTTCCTAAGGAACTTCTAGACTCTTTTAGTTTGTGACATTAAATCAGTGGTGCATTTATTTAACTTTAGTTTTCAGTAAGCATTATACAGCCTGCACCGAACCCTGTAAAATAAATAATGGCTACAACATAATTTTGACTTTTATGACAAAATTGTGGAAAGGTGGATTTAACATGACAAATGCCAAATACATAAATTACTTAAATGACAAGGTTGTTTAGCATGGTTCCAGTTACACGACTAAAGTTGCTTTCCAATTTTCTAACAGTTGTTCTGTTGAGGACCATACTTGGAATGCCATGGATAAAATCCCATGAATAGTAGATGTAGGATGACGAATGTTTGTGCCTTGAGCACCAAATCAGAATATTCGAATGATTTCTGAAGGATCATGTGACACTGAAGACTGGAGTAATGCTATAAATTCCGCTTTGCCATCACAAGAATAAATTACATTTTAAAATATATGAATATAGAAACCAGTTATTGTACTCTATTTCAAAATAAATGTCACAAGTCACATAAAAGATTAACCTTGACATTTTGAACGATAGTGTGCAATAATTAGGTTGTGCATCTTTTACTGTACTGAAAAATAAATATTCTTTGCATTTAACTTGTTCAGTAGTAGTAGAGTACAATCTTTTATGTCAAGTCAAAAAATATAAAATGTAAAATAAAATATTAAAATTAAAACAAATACATTTAATAGCACACTGAGTTACAATGTGATCTGAGGGGCCAATTCTTCTTGCTGACCAATTTAAGTTCTAAAAATGCACTTACATATTTAATGTGTAAACTTAAACTGCCACTGGTGGAATTTGGATGTAATTAGATAAACACATGGATCATGGACAACCCCTGCCAATGTTAGATATATCACTGCTGTGAGCTATTTCATAAAACAATGGAGACCAAATCCCCAATGGTAAAAAGTGACAAAAAGTAAATGATGCCTAGGCTTATAATAATGAACAACTTCAGTGAAGCATAATTCCCCACACCAATTATATCTGTTAAACACCCTTTAAATCTATTAAACTGTCTGGATCTGCCCATATAATTGGAACATAATGGAACAATTTGCAGTTTTACATCGACAATTGTATTCTTTACTTCCTTACTTACAGATGGTTAATCTCCCACAATAGTCTGAGAACCTTAGATAAACCCTGGTGGCCCATGAAGGGTATTGCTTTGGGTGTAAAAGGGTGACTGTGTTTGGAGTACACAAAGTCAATCTAACTTCACTGCAACATGCCCTTCCCATGAATGTCTATAAGCATCATAACTAGCAGGTATGGCAGGGCATTAATCAGGAACATTAAGACTGCTGAATAGAGGGACACTTACAGAGGACATCAAGATCCCCGCAGGGAACTGAGTTTGGTATTTAATGACCCATTCGACAGGCAGGCACACAGCAAGACTGGAGTTTGCTGCATGACGCAAGCACTGTCCCTTTTTGCCCGTCCATGTCTAACTGAAATAATTAGCAGAGAGTCTTGAGCAACTCTAGATGTTCACTGAAGTGAACACAATGTTTAGGATTAAATAGCAAAAAAATAGGAACAGGTTCAGGTTCATTTGAGTAAATATTTTTAAATGGGTTACTTTTAAAATATAGATTTTAAAAAGATATATTTAACACTGATGTGTTTCACTCCACCCATTCCCTCCAAGTCATATTTCTTCAATGTTTGCTCATTTATGTTATGTTTTCAGAAGAATAGCTGGACTGTAGTTTTCTACAAGGGCAAAATTCATTCACTTAAACAGTTGATGGCGCTTTTTTTTTGCCATTGAGGTAATACGAATTTCCATACACTGTTTCCTCTGAATCTGAGCGTTAAGTCAAACCCATATCTGAAAGGACAAATCATAGTCTAAAAGATTCAACTAAATTTTAAATAAATGTGTTGTGTTAACTGCATTTCGCCTTTGTAAGTTGAAATACCTTTAATATAAATAGCTTGTAAAATAACAAGCCTTAGCTTTAAAGTATGGTTTCAAACACTTGGTGAAACGCACTTCCCTTGACACACGCATTTGCATTAACACACATCTAAAAGAATCAGCTCCAGCTCTACAAAATCTCCATAACTATCCTCACTTCTGTCTTTGTATTTTCCTCTCTCATTAGTCTCTCAATCTGTCCATATATCTGTCTGTGCAGAAGATCACTGTAAAATAGCCACAGACAAGTTTTTTTTATTTGTTTTTTTTATTAACCAAGAGTCTGTAGTTCTGGGTTATTTTGTTCAACATTTGCCATTGTTGGTTTGGTCTGTAATCAATTCTATGGAGAAGAAAAGCTTGAACCTTCAGCTAAACATTTACATGTGTTCCACAAAGAAAGTCAAACTGTACAGGTTTGGAAAAACATGATGGTGAGTAAATGGTGATATCAGGTTGAATGTGGCCAAAAGTGATGTCTGAGTAAAATACTAATTTATGGGCTCCATGTTTTAATTGTATCATTTGTCATGACGCAATAAAACGAAAGTAATTTTTGTCAAGTGGTCATACCAAGCTTGTATTTATTATAACCAGTCTATACTTTAATAAATGAAGGTATTAGCTATATTATTAGATGTTATTTTGTGGGTTTTCATGAAAATGGCCAGATGGAAGGAGCTCTCCAGTGCAACCAAGGAGTATATATTTTTTTTTAAATGACTAAATCTGGTCAGTCGGTTTTGGAAATTGCTCTTGTGCAGAATGTGAATGGTCACAGAATGTCCACATAATTATTTCAAAGCACAGTAAGACGACTATCATGCAGAATGTAAAGTGCTGTGGCTGGAATAGTGAGTATTTTGACTGAAGGATGAAAAATCTCCTGAGTGTGGGAGCACCTCAAAACAGCTTCTAAAGACCTGAGCCCATATGCAAAGAGTAGCTCCTAGTGACAAAATTCTAAGAAAATTCTTAGAAATGTAGGCGTTTACTGTTGAAATTAAAGAAAAAAATCCCAGTAAAGAAAAAAAGTAATTCAGAAAGCATCTCAACCCTTAAAATACCTCCAGCCTCCAATTTCATCTTGAACTGTAAGCCAACGGCTATAAGTAGCTGGATTGAAAGGTTGTGTAAGTAAAGAAACAATTTAATCGTTTAATGTGCTGTAAAAAAAAAATAAAAAACGCATTTGACAAAGAAAATAAGGACTGTATAGAAGATTGGAGCCGTGATCTGGAGTCTGACAAGTCAAAACTTTAGCAACCTACTGTAGCATTGAATGTTGTCAGGCATGTTACTAGGAGACGACTAGAGTGTGTTAATGCCAATATGCATGCGTAGCGCCATTAAGCACAGCAGGGGAAACTTAATGGCATTGGGATAGCAGGTGTCCGAAGGATCTACAAAATTGCTGAACACAATGTACCCTAGTATGGAGGATCAGTTTAGAGATCTAGGGCCGTATTCACAAAGAATTTTATCTTACCACTAGGAGGACTCCTAAATCGCACAAAAGTATTTTAGCTATTTTCTCTTAAATTTTTCTCTTATTCACAATGCCTTTCAGACCTACTTTTTGTAAGGAAAAAACTCCTAAACTAAGAGTGAGTCTTTGTTTCTATGGATGACGTTAATTCCCATGCACGAGCTTCCTCTCAATGATCACGTGATTGGTTGTTAGATGACAGGGCCAGACCATCATGCAGAACAAAACATTGCGTACAAATCATGGAATTACAACATCTAAATATGTCTGTGTCCTACACAAAATAATAATAGTAATGTCATTGAGATGCGTATATAATGACATGTTTGTGCAGGCCCCAGTGAAGTGTAATTCTAAAAAGGCAGAGAGAGAAAGAAAAGTTGTGAATTCAATTAAATTAAATCAAGGTAGCCTATACCCCAAAGAAAACCACCACTTGGCTAATAATGAAAAACGACACTTGCATTAACTCTTGCTTGGTTAATTGATATCCTATTAGTCTAAATAGACTAAAGCAAGGAAATGTTGCTCCTATTGAAGTAATCTAATAGTTGAATGATGATAAATTATGAACCCATTTATTAAAAATGGAAAAGAAAGCCCAACTGGACGCAGTTAATGCTGTTGGCCCAGTTGGTGCTAAAAAAAAAAAAAAAAAAAACATAATAAAAGGGAAATTTGGCAACTAAGCGTATCTTTCCTTTGTCCATGAAAAATGCTCACTTCTTGATGATCATGCTGCCACAACGCGTTTTACATGAATTCAAAATTAAGGATAATTTTTGGCTTCAATATCTCGTGGAAAAGAGGTTTTCCCCTAGCGCAAGTCATTACGCAGTACGAGAGAACTTTAACTAGACTTTCGGACTTTGCTCAAAATTGACTTTGCTGAGTCTATCAACTTCAAACAGGTGTAGCTCATTCATTTTTGTCTTATTACAACAAATAATACATCATTTAGAAGTGTTTTTTTAATAGAGAATATTAATTTTCACAATAACTAATTTAACAATAACAAGGTTTTTTAGTTTATGATTGCTAAATAACTCACTATGATGCACATGCACTGTATGAACTCTGTTTGTATCATTGAATCATTTTCCTATTGTAAAGTTGCTTGGAAACAATCTGTACTGTATAAAGCAATAGGCCAATATAAATAAACGTGACTTGACACTACAATTCGGTGTTTGTATCGGTGACAAAACATGTAAAATATACAATGGCAAAGTGACTTCAGATGCTCTGAATCCAGGGCATCAGTGCCCATGTGTGTATGTGTGTGTGTGTGTGTGTGTGTGTGTGTGTGTCAGCTATGGTGGGGAAGGAGAAGGATTCCTCTCCAGAGGTCAGTGTTTCAGTGTGGGGTGCCAATCAGATAATTAAACCCGGAGGGAGTAAATCCGCACACATTGTCATTTTCTCCCTCATAAAATGCTCTCATATTTGTTCCCAAATGGCAGAAAGTGGAAGGCACAAGCTTGTTCAGAAAAGCTTGAATTTAACATCCTTTTTATTTTCTGCCTCTAGCTTAACAACTGACAAGTGACATTCATTTAGAGCGGTGTAACGTATGGTGCTTTAAATCATATCTAATATAGCTGTTTTAATACACTATGTGTGCCCTCCAACAGTCCTTTTGTTATCCTGGTTACACAATTATACTTATGTGTGTCTGTAGGTTCTTTCAGCTCGTGTCTCTTGACGAAAACCATCTAAAATACAGTAAATCACACCACATCCCAAGGTCTCACTAATTACTAATATATATATATATATATATATATATATATATATATATATATATATGGGATGTGGTGTATATACTATTACAAAATCTTTAGCACATTTTCATTATTTAAATAAAGGGTGAAGATGTACATTTTCCTATGCTGGACATCACTTTTGAGCACTACTGTTTGTATATATTTATTTATTTATTTCATTTTTAAAATGATTCATTTCTAAATGGTTTTAGAAATTAGTGAGACCTTGTGATGTGGTGTATAAAAAATAGTTTTTTTTTAAAAATCCACAAGGTTAAACGTCCTCATGAATGAATGAATGAGACATTTATATGATAAATGGCTCATACATGATGTTTTATTAACAAAGTTCAGGAGGAACATGTTCAAATCAGAATGAGAAGAGGCCTATGTATATATACATAGAAGTCTCACCTATGTTCCTCGCTTGGTTACTATACTAAAGATATGGGGGGAGTACTCTGCATTTGGGCCAGATTCTGAGCCCTCCCCTTGGACAGCACGCCAAATGCACATACTTTTACACAATCTGATTATTTGTAAGTGTGAACTGGTGAAAGTAGCTGAAGAAACACACATCCACACATGTTTTTTTCATGTAAGTGACCTGTGCATGTCCCTTCCCACCTTAACCACGTCCTCGTCCGTCGAGCGACATTCCACAGACTCGGTCACATCGGTCACAGTACCTTCGGTTCCGACGGTGACCACCTTCACTGGCATGGCAACTGTCTTCCCAGTGAGCACAGCGGTGTTAAGGATCTCTGTCTCCTGCACACAGAGGGAAGATCAATCAGACTGCGTTAACTCTGGAAAATTCACCAATAATTATTCACAATAATTCGTCATTCTGTCAGCTCTAGCTCTTCATCACCACCATTGAGTCGCGCTATTAACCCAGTGAGTCATATCATTCAATTAGAGTCATCAGCTCTGGAGAGTCTCGGAGTGAGATGGAGAGGTCTGTTTAGAGCCAAACAACACATCCTGTTTTTATGAAACTGATCCACTCTTAGATAATATTCACATGAAAAACACACCCAGGAATACATTTCACTATGAAGCCGTTTCAAAAAGAAAGAACAAATATTTTAACACATATTCAGAAGAAAATATGAGTGCTTGTCCATGCAAAAAAACTATCTGCTGTGACAGGGAGCTGTAGGTGATTGATAGACTGTAGTTTTAAGATGTTCTTAGGGGTTGCTAGGAATGTTCAGGGTGGTCTGCAGGATTTGTTTAGTCTCCTTTAGATCAAACTTGCAAAAATAGTATGTTCTGTAGTGGAAGAAGTTCTGACAAAAACATACATTTATATTTATTACATTATATTTATATACTAAAAAATATGAAATGATATATAAATTAAATATAAATTAAAATAAATGCATTTAAAAAGCTAAATGATTAATACTAATTAGCCATTTAACATAATAGTACTAACCCAGATCCTTAACCTTACGTGTTGGGAATGGCAATAGAAATAGTGATAATTGCCTGAGGAAGCACCAGTAGTATAGTTTCAAATTATGGTTAAAGTTCCTGAAATATAAAATTGAAATTACAGCTAATTAACATTTTCACCAAATTCATTCTCTGACTATAATCTCATCTAAAGCACATCCATGTGTTCAATCTACAGTTTAAACAAGCCAAAGGATGAGTAGTCTGACTTGAGTTTTTCCTGCTGGCCCTTATCATAAACCATGTGGATAAACCAAAATAAAGAAGCCCTCTGCCAAGGTTGTGTTCTTCATCATAGGGTCTTTTCTTCTTTGTCACAGCTCTGCCATTTTCCTTTAGAGAAAACAGATAACATTATTTAATCCTGAACTGTGGATAATGAAATTTCAAGCTTGTTAATAAGACTGAGGTCTTCTGTTACTTTTTTTTTTTTTTCTTCTCCAGGGTGATCCCACATCAGGCTTCACTTGGCAGCTGATTCTTATTTCAATCATTTTCACTTTAATGCACCACAATTGTGAGGATAAACGAGCCACTTCCTTTCTTTCTCTTTATGCATTTAAGCCGATCATTATTTTCTATCTAACATAGGCTGTGCTTTCTACTTCTGAGTTAGAATTTGAATACGCCGTTTCCCTTGATTTCAAAATTATGTAAATGTACAACAGGAATGTAGTCTGAGCAGCACTCGCTTGGTATTCAAACCATACGCTCAGACATTTTGACAGGGAGTTATCACCTGTGTTTGATTTGCTGTCAAAACATTAATTTATCAAGACCAGGAAAATGACTCTGATAAATATTCAACGGGATGGGATGGGTGAAGTGTTTACAATTTGCTCTCCCCCTTTCACTCACATAGGAATTCAAAGAACTCAGCGACAGTGTTCGGCAGACAAGGTGCTTTCAAATGTCTTTCAATGTGTCCATTCACCGGCTGTTAAAACCGAACAATGAAATTTTCATTCAAGCCTGAAGATTACGGAGTGAATTAAAAACAGAATTCCAGAGCAAAACAGGAAAAGCGGTGGAAAGCCTCTCATTGTGATGCCACAGACTTGGATGGGTGGCTATTCTGTAAAAAACAAAACAAAGCTAAGGTGAGTTCAGTCCAGCGAGGGAGTGAGGACAGTTTTAAACCACACAGGTCAAATCCATTGACCCTTGAGAAATACATACTTGCCTCCACCATTTGACTCGCATGGCAAAAGCAAAAAAAAATAAAAAATTGAAACTTATACCCAAAGATTCTAACGCTTTGTTAAAAAAAAAGAAAAGAAAAAGAAAAGTAACTTTTTTTCTACCAAAATAATGTGCATTTTAATGTTTGTACAGGTACACAAGGATTACAGTACTCTAGCCTTCCAATATTCCAAAAAGTAATATAAACCAGATTATCCAAATTTACAAATACACATACAGTAAGAAGCAAATCTTAATCCAGTTCAGTCACATGAAAGTCCCATAAGTCTGTGTTAAATTCTCTCAGTCTTGTGAAGAAAATGTGATGTGTTAAGACCAGACAAAAATGAATAAAAACACTTTTAACAGCACACTACTTCTTGAATTAATTTTAAAAAGTAAAAAGTCTAATATTTTGTGATATTAAGTGTAACTTTATACAAAATATGAATGCATTATTTTAATTATGTGTATTCACACATTTATTTATTTATTATTAGATTTTTGTTGTGTGTATTATTTTATATATAGTGGGGAGAACACGTATTTGATACACTACCGATTTCGCAGGTTCGTCCACTTACAAAGAATGTAGAAGTCTCTAATTTTTATCATAGGTACTCTTCAACTGTGAGTGACGGAATCTAAAACAAAAATCCAGAAAAACACATTGTATGATTTTTAAGTAATTCATTTGCATTTCATTGCATGACATACTGTAAGTATTTGATCACCTAACAATCAGTAAGAATTCCGGCTCTCACAGACCTGTTAGTTTCTCTTTAAGAAGTCCTCCTGTTCTCCACTCATTACCTGTTTTAACTGCACATGTTTGAACCCGTTACCTATATAAAAGACTCCTGTCCACACACTCAATCAAACAGACGCCAACCTCTCCACAATGGCCAAGACCTGTAAGGACATCAGATAAAATTGTAGACCTGCACAAGGCTGGGATGGGCTTAAGGACAACAGGCAACCAGCTTGGTGAGAAGGCAAAAAACAGTTGGCGCAATCATTAGAAAATAGAAGAAGTTCAAGATAACGGTAAATCTCCCTCGGTCTGGGGCTCCATGCAAGATCTCAACACATGGGGCATCAATGATCATGAGGAAGACGAGGGATCAACCCAGAACTACATGGCAGGACCTGGTCAATGAACTGAAGAGAACAGGGACCATAGTCTCAGAAGAAAACCATTAGTAACACACTATATATATTTGTAATTGTGTTATATTTGTGTTATATTTGAAATATTTAAAAATATACATAGAAAATATATAGGATTAAATGAAAATCAATATAAAACAAATTAAATAAAAATCCATGTTAACGGGCATGATGTTGGGATTGCTACATTTGGCAAGCGCCACAATGCAAAGTACAGTTTTCTGATTCTTTTGACATTAAGGGAGAAAGAAAATTAAGGAAGATTTACTCTGACAGCAGGACTGATGTTTGTGGCATTTGAACCAGCAGAACTATTATACCACTAGTTCACATCCACCTAGACTCCCAGTCCTCCCCCCAATCATGATGCTCCAGTTGAAACACAGCATCCCTCTCCTTCCCCCAACCCCATCTCTCGAGCTCCTATGAGCTGCTGTTCCAGAGGGAGGGCGATGAATCCAAGCAAAATGTGTTATTCATGCAGTCTTGTCATCCGCTGCTGCCTGGCTTGTCGGTAAACATTGCTCCCTGGACCGCTGACTGATTAGCGTTAGCTATGCGCGGATGCTGGGTTTCAAGAACAGGCTGGGCTGGCATACGCTCTCCTAGAGACCGTCTCTATGGGAGGGCAGTGCTTCTACAACACACACTTACTCTTAAATGGTTTCACACTATCTTGAGAAAGAGAAAGAAAAGAGGAGGTGGTAAATCGATAAAAGGCCATTATACTTTTTGGGCAGCATTTGTAAGGTCTAAAGAAGTATTGCAGGTGAGGGAACGGAGGGTTAATATCAGCACAGGTGATTGCTTAACTTTGTGGTGGACCTACGCCGGCTCACACGGGGCCTAACGCTCAAGGACAGGCATTACTGAACCTATTGGCACCCCGTGTGGCTCCTCCCGGCTGATGCCGCAGACATGCTATTACAGAGCCATCGATCCACGGCTGTATTTCTTTTCAAGACCGTGGGTCCTCCCAGCTCTTCAGCAGCAAGGACTGAAGCCTTTTTGCCTCTGAGAGTCTTGCTGACAAAGCCGCTGATAAAATGGCACAACAGTGCACACAAACAGGGAGCAAAGAGGAAGATGGCTATTGATTTCAGTAATAGCGCAAAGAGATGAAGCAAACGCTTAGCTGCCTTGAACACATTACAGCCACTGGGTCAGACAAGCATCAGCTAACATGAGGATAATCACTGTTTTGTGCTACCGTTTCCACATTAAACCATCATCCAAGGCCTCTCCACCTCACTGCTTGGTTAAATAAGATCTCTTTCAAGGAATTAAGACCCATTATGACAAGAGGACATGATCTCCTCTACCATTGCTAAAGAATTAAACATTGCTCAAACATTCATGACAGTGCATGTTCATAGAAACAGCATGATTTAGTCAAGTAGAAATTGTTTCTGGATCAGGAACAACATTCTTATCAAACAATTATAGGCCAAACACCTTCCCAAACACTTAGCTACCCTTAAAATATATGAGCTAACCTCTCAGTTCTCCGGTTCTCCGGTTGGCCCATGGCTCATGGCTCCACATGGCTCAATCAGCCTCTCAATTAAACCTCTCTCGTTGAAGACCGCTCTCCTGTTGGCATTGGCATCAATCAAGCGAGGGGGGGATCTGCAGGCTCTCTCTGTGAGCCCGGCATGTCTGGAGTTTGCTTAGGATAACTCTAAGGTCATCCTCAAGCCCAGGCATGTGCCCAAAGTGCTCTCAACACCAGTTAGGGCACTGAGAATTTGTCTGGAGCGTTCTGAGTCGTTTGGACAATCAGAACAGCTTTTTGTCTGCTTTGGTGGTCGATCCAAAGGGGATTCAGTCACTAAGAAAAGACTGTCTAAATGGATAGTGGATAGTATCGCGATGGCTTATACCTCAGTGGGTCTAGTTTGCCCAATAGGTATCAGGGCCCATTCGACCAGAGTTATGGCCTCAGCATGGTGATT